AGAGAGAGAGAGAGAGAGAGAGAGAGAGAGAGAGAGAGTATATCTTGGTGTTGTCGGTCCATGACCGGAGGTAGCCCTCCAACAGCAACAACAACAACAACAACAACAACAACAACAACTACAACTACAACAACAAAAACAACAACAACAACAAAAACAACAACAACAACAACATCAGCAAAGACCTCCACTCGGTTCTATCTGCCCTTCTCTGTGTCCAGATTGTTCCTGTCCGCTCTGTGACGTCATCTCCCCACTGTCTTTCTGGTCTTTCTCTTGATCATTTTCCTGTTCTTGGTCTCCAATCAGTGCATCTTTTTGCTTGATTGGAAAGAGTTTTATCTTATCAGTGTGTGGGAGAGCCATTGGAAAAAACAAACAAATAACAAACTTCACAATATTAAACCCAAGCTGGGACCTCGGAATCCTTCGGGCCTCTCCAGAAGAGACGTAGTCATTTTTACTCGATTAAGCATCGGACACACGGCCCTAACACACAAATACCTCCTTCAGGGAGATGAGAAGCCGTTCTGTGTCGGATGCAACACAGATTTTACCATTAGACACATTTTAATGGAATGTTTAGACTTCGGAGAGACCCAAAGGAAATACTTAAAATGCAAAAAATTGAAAGATATTTTTTCCGTCGTTGTTCCCAACAGAATTTTAGAGTTTATGAAGGTCATTAATGGTCTTTATGGGAAGTTATTAAAATAGATTGTTTGAAATTTTAAAGTGTAATTTAGAAAGTTGTTTTATATTTTAAAATCTATTTGCACTCGATTTTTAGCGCTTTAAAAGATTTTAATTAGTAATATTGACAAGAATCAGGCTGATCAATGAGCTAATTAGAAAAAACCAACTTGTTCCGCGCGCTCATATGACTTTATGCATATGCGAGCGCCATAAACGCCGTACTAAACAAACAGAGTTTTATGTCACTCCTATCTACATAAGGTTTGGTGTTGACCAGATGACAAAGACATGTGGTTACTTAAGGGAGGCGTTGCGCTGCCAAGAGCGAAATGCTCGCAGCTAAAGGGATTTGAAAACAACAACAACAGCATCTGCATACGGTCATATGAGCGCGCAGTGCGTCTTTTTGTGCTCCTCCAGTGCTCATAATGAAATAGAAATGTTTGTCCCTTTTTCCTTGGTCAGGCTCGCGAGGGGTGACCCCTGTGGACGCGACACTCGACACCATCTCGGAGACTCCCAGGGAGAAAGTCACACCTCGGATCCAAAGGGGCCAGAAAAGCGAAACATCACCCAGGTAAGTTTGCTCCTTCAGCTCACGGCTCACGGCTCACGGCTTGGTGGAATACGCTGGTCTCCGGCTAATAGAACGCACCTTGGCTCACAAGAAGAGCGCGCTCTTGAGCGATCATTTTTTAAACGGAATTTCAAAGAGGTTCAGCTGGCTCAAGTTATGTTGTTGAAGTTTGTCGATGGATGTCCCAGAAGGACTGTACAGTATATCATTGGCTCACTGTTTAAATGTAGTAACTCGTTCAGTGCTATGGACGAGAATATCCCCCCCCCCCCCCGGGTCAGTGCCACTGACTGTAGTGTCTTTAGGCCATTCCCAAAGGGGGGGCATTTCTCGTTCAAGCACAGTAGAATTGTAAATGGGCTGACTAATGTCACGCTCATTACTGTGCCCGATCTACCACAGGGAACTGCTGCTTTTTCTTCCTAATCCTTACTATTGTCATTTTCCTCTACTTCTTTTGTATGTTTGTCACTATCTTGTGACCTGCTATTTCCGGGGTGCCTTGATAGTCGAAGCAGACTTTGTGCTGTTGAAGCTAGAGAGGTGAGCAGAATAAGTCTGATTCCCTGTAAAGACTTCTCTGTTAACACCCACCTCTTGGCGCTCATATGACCTAATGCAGTTGCGAGCACCGTAAAACCCTTTACTATAAAAAAACCGAGAATATTCATGAAACCCAGGCCCCGCCCACCATACTAGCGACGAGTATTCTCGCATTCTGCTTCGCTATCTTTATAGAAAGAATTACTCTGTTTAATCCATACCAAGTTATTTAAACTATTGTTGTGCATTCAATTAAATATATTGTTAGACAATTTATTCAGCAATGAATTTTTTAAAATGCATAAAGATTGATCAAATAGTTTTTGTGGAAGGGTTATTTTCCTGGGTAG